CTTCTCCGCCTTTGTTGTTATTTTACTGTTACAGCTGTAACACATTTCTTTGTTAATAGTACATAGTACGCCTTTGTGCTATATTTCCATGCATTTATATTAGTCTCTACCTGCAAAAAATTTGAGTTTCGCTAAATGTATATTTAACGTTTTTATTATCTTATAAATCAGACCCTTTGATAATGTTCTTAGAACGATTATTTACACAATATCTGAGGCGTCAACTTGACTCGATATTAATCTAGGTAAAACTCTATTTTATCATTATAAAAACAATTTTGTTTCACACACCTGCCTGATTTATGGTTCTATTTTTTCACTCCTACTAAAAGGGTTTGTTAATAGTTGGTTCTAAAACATTGTTTTTGAATTTACAAAGGTTCAAAGCCATAAAAAAATTGTAAAATTTCCCTTCGCTTTAAAAGTTTAAATTAAAGTAATCATAACTCGCCAACATGGCAAAGTATTGTGTAAACTCAGTTTTCAAGAAACATTGCAACAAAAGTCAATTGTGCTCAAATAAAGTAAAATACTTAACTCGCAGGCTTCAATATTTCTTCTACGCCTTGCTTCAACAGAGATTAATTAATCCATGTCTTCAAAAAGTACACCAACAATATTTCTATTAGATAAACCATTCTTCCAATGTATCCAGCAGCTTTCTTTCTACTATGTCTTATATTTCGTCGCGATCGAAGTGACGTCGTCATAAAAGCTGAGGAATAATCATAATAATGATAATATCGTATGTCAGCACGTGACACAAACTGGTTTTCTGGCTCTTCTATTTCTTGGACTGCCTCAATAAAGTCGATATTTTCATTTTGGTGATAATTTAATGAGCTCTCGCTCATTAAATTATCTTATCATCACATCTGTTTTATTTTCCGGTGAGTAAATAAGCCGAAGATATCAACTGTTTGCTATTTAAGTTGGACTAAAAAATGAGAAAATACACGCACCGGAAATAAAATACGAGAAGCAAAGAGTCAACATCTAGCCAAACAGTGTCATGACATTGAAGAACTCGAAAAAAGATACGACACGTTTAACATGTATAAAAAAGTAAAAGAAGCGGCTGGTATCTTCAATAAGAAACAAAATGCATTGCTACAGGATGAAAATGGTAAAGTAATATTCGAAGTAGAGGACAAACTTAAAGAATGGGAAAATTACGCCACGAACCTATTCGAAGACGATAGGAGTAGTTCACCTCCCGATATTACTAACAGCGACGGACCCCTAATAACACGCTGTGAGGTTATAAAGGCCATATAACCCGACAAGCGAGAGCTGGCGGGTTGCGTGTAGAACAAATTGAAAAGTAGAAGGGATTGCTCATTTCTACTGCAGTCGGCTAGGAGTTCACATCGTGTATAACCGTTTAAGTACCTATACTATATACCTATAATCGCGATTAAGTACCTCTCCTATCTCTTTTAGAATAATTCCTTTTCTATTTTCTCGCAGCTCACCCGCCAGCTCTCGCTTGTCAGATTATACAATCATCAAAAGATGGCAGAGCGACTGGTCCTGATGAAATTCCAACTGAAATATATAAGCTTTTAAAGGATAGCAATGTTTTAGAGGCTATAACTTCGTTTTTCAATACCATTTATACCAGCGGACAACTACCTAATGGTTGGTCTCACTCACTGTATATAGCTCTACCTAAGAAGACAACATCAAAAACCTGTGCTGATTATAGAACCATCAGTTTGTTAAACCACTTATTGAAAATGTTTCTGAAGGTAATACATGGTCGTATCTACAATAAATGTGAGGAATACCTGGATGACACTCAGTTTGGTTTCCGTAACGGATTTGGAACGAGAGAGGCACTGTTTGGAATGAACGTACTTGCTCAAAGATGTCGTGATATATCTGTAGACATATACTGTTGTTTTATTGACTTTCAAAAGGCATTTGATCGTGTTAAGCACTCTATATTGATCGAAGCTCTAAAAGACATTGGCTTGGACGGCAGAGATGTTCGAATAATTGCAAATTTATATTGGAATCAAACAACATCAGTTTTAGTAGATGGTGTGGAATCACAAGCTCTCAATATTAAAAGAGGAGTACGGTAGGGATGCCTCTTGTCACCCCTGCTTTTTAACGTTTACTCCGAAAGAATTTTCAGAAAAGCACTTTCTGAAAAACAAGAAGGAATACTTGTGAACGGCGAAGTCATCAATAATTTGCGATATGCGGACGATACAGTACTCCTAGCTTCTAGTCAAGAAGATCTGCAAACACTACTTGATAGTGTCGTTGAGAGTTGTAGAGAGGCAGGTCTGGATCTTAACATAAGGAAAACCAAAATACTCGTAATAAGTAAACAACAGAATATAAAACCGTCTATATATGTAAATAATACCAAACTTGAGCAAGTTGATAAAATCGTCTACCTTGGACAGCAATTAAATTGTAATGCAGAAAATCACGGCGAAATTAGATCCAGAATAGAGCAGGCTATAGCTGCTTTTAGAAGGATGTCCAAGGTGTTATGTCACAGAGACCTAAAATTGGCATTAAGGATCCGCCTGCTTCGCTGCTACGTGTTCTCGGTCTTACTTTATGCTGTCGAGTCCTGGACTGTGAATAAAATCGATCTAAATCGCCTTGAGGCTTTCGAAATGTGGTGCTATAGAAGAATTTTAAAAGTTTCCTGGGTGGAGAAGATTCGTAACTCCACATTACTAGAACGTCTCAGCAAGGCGACTGAGATCATAAAAAGCATCAAGCAGAGAAAGCTGGAATATTTCGGACATGTAATGAGAGGTCCCAAATATAGATTGCTACAAAATATCATGCAAGGAAAAATAGCAGGCAAACGCAGTCCAGGACGCAGTCCAGAAGAACCTCATGGTTGAAGAACTTGCGAGATTCGTATGGTGTAGATACAAGCATGCTATTTAGGGTGGCAGTGAATAAAATTAAAATAGCTATGATGGTAACCAACGTTCTGAAAGGACATGGTACATGAAGAAGAAGGAAATAAAATAAATTGAAAGACAATCCATGGACGTATCTAAAGGAAAGAGAAGGGTTGTTGTTACAATAACTGTAAGTTGTTCTTTAACCATGATGCTAGTTTTCTACCAACCTTGTCCTTCTGTCTTGCCCCATACTGTAGATTCTAAGATACTGGTTACCTCGAAGAATGTGAGCTAGATAAGGCGAACTGATGAGCAAATTAGCCAACAATCAGATGATTGACTACTGTAGCACATCTGGAGCTGTGCTTTGTTTGCTTGCGAAGAATAAATAGTTCTGTGCGCAACTCCAATAAAATTCCATCGCAGAGAGTAAAGGTGCAATATGACAGAACATGGAGTTGCGTTCAAAGAGAAATATAAAATATCGAAAAACCGTTTTACTCTTACTATTTGTGGTTTAGGATTTCTAGAATATGGCAAAACTGTCTATTTATGGCTAGCGCGTACCGTTCCTGTTTGTCGGTATTTTAACACAGTCCAATGGAACTTGGAAGCTGATTTATAGCACGTACTTATCCATCAAATCTTCTGATGTGACTAGAAATAGGTGCGGCCAATTTCGTATTAATTTTATTATGAAATGGTCTAAAGAAGTGGTGTTGGAGTTTTATATAAATTACATAAATCGTTATATAAATTACTCAAGTTACTAAAATTTTTAACGCCGACACTGGTGGACAAAAGATACCTAAACCATGATTTCAACGGGACACATTTCATTTGTGTAGTTATCAAAAAGTAAATATTTATCAATTTCACACTAACATTGGGTGCCATCCACGGTCTCTTTCCTTTTCACTGTATATGTTGTCTGTTCCTCTTTGCCGACGTGAACCAAATGCAACAATACTTTAATGAGTATCTCTCTCCAAGTTTCCTTTAAGTCAGCATCTTCTTCTTCTTCTTCAGCCTGTGTTCGTCCACTGCTGGACATAGGCCTCTTCCATTTGCTTCCATCGATTTCTATTTTTGGCAATTCTCATCCACTGCTTGCCCGCGACTTGTTTGATATCGTCTGATATCAAAACGATATGATATATCATATCGTTTGATATAATAAGTCAGCATATTCGTGGACAAACAGTTACGTCATAGTACTGCAGTCTAGTGCTGATGTTGATCAGCCAAACTCTACGACTAATATGGTTTGACCTCGTTAACTAAGGACACAACAAAACAACAAACAACAACAACAACAAAATGATCATCTTTTCTAAACATAGCAAGTTCTCGACCACTTTAGCACCATATATTGGTCATACAAGTTTCCTGAAATTGATCCTAACTCGGAACAACCACACTGACAAACGTTGAACTATTGGGTCACTTTCTGTTGAGTATGTGTTTGATGTTCCAATTGCTTATCACCTTATACGTATTTTTTATAGTAAGCATGAGTATTCTGCACTGTGTAACTGTGTTACGTAAGGGTTTGTAGTTCTTGGAGATTCTTGGCTGTATAATGCCATATGCGTATCTCATGTTGTTGTTTATGGCCTTCTCCTTCACTATGATATCTTCTCTTGATCTAGTGCTTCTCTAAAAATCTCCAAATAAACAGTTAAGGTGATTTCATGCAACCCTGAAGAACTCTTCTGTACCGATATAAAATATTATTCTTACAACAGGTTAGCTATTTAAATCATCAAAAAAATAAAAAAAAGTTTTATTTGTTTGGCTTGCAAAGTTTGTCACAGCAAATTTCAAAATTTGGCGTCTGCAAAAATGTACAATAAGATCGCCCATGATATTAAATCAGGTATTTTATAAAACAAAAATCCTAATAAAGTAAGAAAAAATAAAATTAAACAAAAAAGGTGTAATCTATCCAAAATTTTAATTCTCTACTTGTATGGAGAATTAAAAAAAAAATACAAAAAAACGCTAGAAATGTACGAAAAACATATGAACTTGAATGAGTTTTTTTGGGGGAGAAAAAAGTATATTTTAGAATATAATAGTTCCATATTGCTATATTAAATTAATTCTCTTTTTCAGCTATACTATTGTACAGGATATGCAGATGCTGCCGAAGGATCTATGTCAAGCTTCTTCACACAATATTCCACGCACTGGCGATACCATGTGTAGCTGTTGGATTTTTAGCAGTATTAGATTCCCACAATTTAAGCAACCCGCCCAGACCAAACTTCTATTCGTTGCATAGTTGGATTGGATTTGTTACTATGGGACTATTTGCATTACAGGTAAAGTGGAAAGATAGTTTTAGTAATATAGTAATATGCGTTTCCCATAGTTCCAATATAGTTTGTTTTCCATCTTATTAGTCATCGGTAAGATCAGGACTAGTATAATAATTAATCAAGTTACAAACATCCCGTGCTTAGAAATGAATCTAATAACTCCAATACGACTCTGTTAGATATAGATAGGTTCACCAATAATTGAATTTACATATTGAATACTGAAGCCAGTATACCTGTGCGAAGATGCAGGTGTGTTTGTCCTTACACCTTGTCCTGATACCTTTATTTCGCACACTAGTCATAGGTCGCTTAGGAAACAAGTTTTGTCCTTAGGGAAATAGGTTCACTTGTCTATACTTTTTTGAAGACCACCCACAAAACTGGGACAAATGAAAGTTTCGCAAATAACGTTTTAACAAGTCTATTTAAACAATTACCACAACGTATTTTGGACGCCGATAACTTGCTTACGACAGCTGATTTACGAAATTTATTCGTCTTGAATGTATGTGCAAAAAAACTAGATAACTTAATCGGTAATGCAATATTGACACAAACTGATTCATATTCCAACTGTGTTAAACCTTCTGAAGTGAGGCTAGCGCGAACAAAAGCTTCGAGCTCATACAATGCTGGATTCGAAATAATGTCATCTCGCCCCTTGAATCGCATTGGGCTCATAACGGTTTCTTAAAATCAAGAAATCGTCCCCCTTGACCTTCGACGTATATAAAGGATCTGTTTACATTTACATTACCTTTAACACCCCTTTCATTGGTAAAATTACATGTGAAGGTTATTTTTTAACTTGCCTTTCTGTTGGGATTTTTCGAATAACTCAAATCGATAATTTGGAAATTACTAAACATATATTTCGCTTTCGGCAAACTAGCACATATCTTGAAAAACACCCCCATTTCTATAAACTTAAAGAAAAAGGTGTATAACACATGCATACTACCAGTTTGTACCTACGGCTTGGAGACAGTAGCACTTACCAAAAAATCTGCCAAAAAATAGGAAACAACGCAAAGAGCAATGGAACGAGTCATGCTTGGAATATCACTAAGAGACAAGATTAGAAACACCGAGATAAGACGTAGAACGAAGATTAGTGATATTGTGGAAGAAATTACAAAAATGAAATGGCGCTGGGCAGGTCACGTAGCCCGATATAATGACAACAGGTGGAAACGGAGAATTCTAGAATGGAGACCAAGGACAACAACAAGAAGCATGGGAAGACCTCAAAAAAGATGGGTAGATAATATAAGAGCAGTGGCAGGCAAACAGTGGATTATATTGGCGGAAGATAAAGATGGAAGCAATTGGGAGAGACCTACGTTCAGGAGTGGATGGAAAATGATTGACAAAGAAGAAGAAACATATATTATTACTAAATATATACTAAATATATATTACTAAATGTATTATAATGATCGTTTCATTGTTATGATTCTCTGACGATTAAAGAATTTTACAAATCTAAACCTTAAAATACAGTGTGGTATGATGATATGAAAAAAAATTGAAAAAAATATTAAATGTTGTTGTTACGAAACAATACCTACAATATAAAATTGTAGATATAACCTCACATTCGTTAAATACGAATATTTTCATTTCAAACCTTTTTCTTTTTGAAAAAATATATAGTTTCCAACTTAGACAACCCGATCAGTGATTCGTCAATGCTAATGTTTTGATTTCGATTAGGGACAGATACATGTATAAATTTGTCCTTCAAGTAAGACAGAATTGGTTGAATTGTAGATAATCTTCGGCTTATTGAATGCTTGTTGAGTATTGCTTATTTACAAAATGTAAAAATTTTAGCAGCAAAGAAATGCGTTTTTCTAACATTGCGCGACAAAAATATGGCGTTGCTGTGATTTCTCGCTCCGTAAAATATAATTTACCCTCTGTTGTAATGTAGATTGTGTGAATAATAAGAACAACCGAATAAGATTCTTATTTCATTCGCATCAGCTACTGTCTGTTTTTTATTCTTGATTGATTTTTTATAGTTTTGTATTTTCGTTTTACTTTCTGTAGAAAGATATTTCCCATTTTATTAAACACATCTTTTGAATAAATTTAATTTAGTTAAACATATATGGTTTAAATTAGGCATGTATCTACAACGGAAAGGATGCTATTGTCGTCATTGGTAAGTCAGGAAACTCATAAATGACAAATGATTATTCTTTGTGATTATCTGTTGTTTTGATATATTTGCAGAAATTTGTCGCTAAAGTATTTGTTTGAAAATGAGCATACTTAAATTCTAGTTAAAAAAATAACATAATTAGAATAATTCTTTTAATTAATTAATTAATTAATTAATTTAATTTTTTACAAGTGAAAAGGAAATATACCCTTTAGTTAAATTAAAACCATTTCGTACTTCAAATAATAAGAAACATATTTATGCTTTGTTGATTATTCCAAGGCCTTTGATGTCGTAAAATAGGATAAAATTTGGCATATGTGTAGAGAAATGGGTAAGACAGAATATCTAACCTATTTGTTACAGGAACTATATGTAAATAATACTGGTAATGTAAGAGTTAATATAATGTGGTTTCTAATAACTTTAAATTAAAATCTTAATTTCGACAGGGATGCATAATATCTCCTATTCTATTCAACGTATTAGGAGGTTTAAAGCAAAACCGAATAAATCCACTAAAACCGATTTTTGGAAAAATAGGATTTTTTTTGTTTATCTTGTTCGCAAATACTGTTAGAGAAGTCATAATAAAACTTTTGCTACAATATAAATTTAAAAAACTGATATTTAGTGCAAAAGAAAATTTAAACAAAAGTGGATTGATTTGGTTTTGCTTGAAATAACTGGATTTATTTCATTTTGCTCACAACTTTATTAGCAAGAATTAACAAAAGTATTTAAATATGAAGTGCAAACTCTTCTTCTAGACAGTCACACTCATTTCTTAGCTCTTCTTCTTTCTCAGTATGTTCAATCAGTTGATTATTTTCACATAAAAAATTCGTGTACCACAAAAAACTTTCGTCAATTTTCCACTCCTTTCCAAATTATTTTTCCATAAGTTGTTGAACACTTTTTATCTTCTTTGGTGGAAGGGCACTTCGCAGTTTGACTTCGGATAGCAAAAAATTTTTAAAGACCTTCCCTTTTTGTAAATTGAGCGCCTAAGTTCGGATTGGGCTTCAAATCGATAATGCTGAAAGCATGATATTAAAATTTTAAGTTCTTTAGTTTTTTTAATCTAAGTCTTTTCCAGACAGATTCTTTTTAAGTCTGATATTCCAACAGTCTTGTTAAGGTAATTTTGTAATTCCTTGATATCAACAATTTTCCAGTCTTGTCCTTAGACTTTGGCACTTCCGACTTGTGCATAATGACCGATATATTCTTCCTTAGATATAATAGTTGGATTATTTCTAAATATTTTTTCAAGTCGCCCAAAAACTCTATCTAAAATAGAATAAAGGCTTATTTGGTGTGAATAAAATGCACGCCAATATTTGGCGTGCGTAGTAAGGGTTGAACCTGCTGCAGGTCAAAGCAAAATGTCAGGGAATTTTCTGGCTCTTGTTTAGAAAGCTCGTAAAATGCTTTTGCTCTTTTTTTATGAACTCGATATTCAGTCATATAATTGGTTTTCTCTTTTTCGTCTTTTTCCGATTTAATTAAATGCTTTAGACGCGTGCATTGGGAACAGGTATCAGAAGCTGGAGACGAAAATCCAATGTTAAATTTTGTTAGAAAAATCTTTCTAAACATATGGTAGCCAACTTGGTACTGACTTTCAGCCTGTTCATTATACATACGTTGTAACTTTCTAATACTAAGATGGGCAGGTAAATAGATTCCTCGAGATTTTTTTCGATTATAATGACTTTTGACGCCACGCAATTGACCAACAAATTCGCGTACTTTCTTCCTCTTGTCGAAACTTTTTGTTGAAATATGGTCCCCTCCTCTTCGCTCTTTGGGACAGTCTTCTGAGTCAACAATCTTACATAATGTAAACAATCTGTTGTTTTTAACACCGGTTGCTGCCATGAAAAAAGCCTTGCAGACTTTAACTACCCCTGTTGATCTTGTTTTCTTAATTTTTAAAAAGAAGTTTGTTGCCTTTGTAATGGCAAGCTGAGCAACGATAGGGGGAAGAAAAATCAAAATCCTACGTTATGCTGATGACACTGTTATATTGGGATCATCACCAGAAGAACTGGAACAAGTTATGAATAGGTTAGGAACGTTGAGTACGGAATATGGTTTGAAAATAAATATGCAGAAAACCAAAGTGACTATCATCGATAGAATCAGAAACAACCAGGCAGAGATAAGAATCATGGCAGGTTACGAAGTGGTCAGGCAATTTAATTACTTAACCTCCATTATTACTAACAGTGGATGATGCGAAGATGAGATCCGTCGACGCAATACAATGGCCAGATCGGCAACAGCGAAACTGACAAACATTTGGAAGAACACTGACATCACAAAAAACACAAAATACGCCTTGTTCGAGCGTTGATATTTCCTATCGCCACCTATGCTTCAGACACTTGGACAATAAAACAAGCTGATTCAAAGCGTATAATGGCATTTGAAATGTGGATCTACCGTAGAATGTTCCGCATACCATGGACCATCCATCGCATAAATAACGCAATTCTAGCAGAACTTAACATAAAAACTAGACTCACAACAACTATCAACCAAAATATAATGGGATATTTTGGACATATTAGACGAAGAGAAGGCATAGAGCGAATGATAGTTGAAGGTAGCTTAGTAAAAGACCCAGAGGAAGATCTTCAGTAAGATGGTCGGACCAAATAAAGGAGATGACTGGTTACTCATTCTATGAAGCAAAACAACACGCCTAGGAGAGAGATAATTGGACAGAAATAGTCAAACAAATTACATGACTCCACTACATCTTACGAAGGAGAAAAGATTGAGGAGGATGACTTCAAGTAAATATCGTAGGGTAAAAACA